ATATACTAACCTCCTCCCGTGACCCAAAGCTCAGTATATAGCGAGTTATTGCCCGCAATATACTGAGAGCGCTGCAGCCAGTACGGATCCCAACAATACTGTCTGGATCCACAAATATCTACATATCTACAGGCAGAGCCAGCTGTGCCTGCCCCCTCCCCCGTCCGTTCCTCCACTCAGCGATGGAGGATCGGAGAGGGGGGAAATCCGTGCAGGGAGTGGTGACTCTGCAAGGAGATGATCGGAAAGTGAGCGAGCAACACTATGTGGTCGCTTACTTCCCGATCAATAGAGCCAACCAGTGACAGCTTCTTTGTCACAAGTCGGCTCTAACTATGAGGATGAGTGGAAATCACTCACCTCATAGTTCTCCTTTAGGTAGTGATCTAAATTTGGCCTATGGGTTTAGCATTTACATAGACTTGCATGGGGATGTTAAACCTATTTGAAGCAAACAAAAGCTTATTGACTCAAGCACCTAATGCAGGCATTCACTCTACTCTAACCCGCTGTAACCCCCTCCCTTCCACTATTTAAAAATGAATGTAATTATTTTCCTGTATTTACTTTTTTTTAAATGTGGTAGGTGAGAATTACATTTTCTGCCCCTGCAGCCTCCTGGGAAAATCACTGGCACATATCCCAGGAGGCTTTAGGAGTAGGCATACAGAGCAGATGGTGGGAGGCACTGTGGGCATCATTGGGGGCTGGCTGTCTGAGCTTGGAAGAGTCAGTTAGCTCCCAATGAATGAGAAGGACAAAGATGGCAGAAAAGGACCCAGGCTGTGTCACCTGAACAGTGGATCACAGTGGGACAACACTGAATTTGCTGGGCAGGTGAGTATATGCATTCAGGACATCAGTGCACCAAAAGTAAGAGGGGTTAAAAAAATATCTAAGTGGAGTTTCTCTTGAATCATGCAGACCAGGAGTTCTGACCTCATTCTAGTTTTCAAGTTTGTGTGCTTGTTAATGATTGAAGCTACTGCATCTGCATGACAGTGAAGCATCTATTCTAGGAGGTAAGGAATGATAGCCCCTTTATTTCTCTTATTACTCTTATTATAGGCTTCCTTTAATATAACATTTATATTAGTATAAAACTGCTCTGTATAAACAGACAATATTGGTGTGTTATTTTTCCAAACTCTAAAGAACTGTATTGAAGGAATAATCTTTACTTGTATTGTCAGTGTGGGAATAGCTATCATCTTTTCCCCTCTTGGGAAAAGAAATGTCTTTCTCACGTCCCATTCACATATCTCCTGACAGTACTACCTGGCTGCAGCATGCAGAATATTGACTCTGGCTCTTTTGGATCATACTGCAGAAAAAAAATAATCCCACAAAACTTGACGAGACAGCCCTGCTCCATTTTCTCTTCCTACAGGCAAAGAGTTAAAAAAAAAAGGAAAGTTGGATGAGGAGACCCATCACGATCCGAGACGGTTGAAGACAAGAAGAGAAATAATTTCTGACAAGTGGAAATGTCTGATGTCAAAGGCACAGGCTGAAAAGCCAATTCAGTGCCAACTTGAGACATCTTGACTTCAGCAAAGCTGTGTCAGAGACAAGCTGTATGACTAAAAAACAAGTGTGACTTGGTGGAATGAAATGTGAGATAAAGATATTATGGACTGAATGGACAAAGTGGAATTGTTGTACAAATAAAGAGGAAAAAAAATAAAAAAAATACAGAATCACTACATATATTACATACATAGAACACACTTGTTAACAATTTAAATGTGGTGGTATGAATTTTATTACAGTAAGACTAGTGAGTTACAACAGTCTAACAGTTTCATGGCTGCTATACTGTATATTTACCTGTATCAACACAATGAGACCTATATTAAGAAGTAAAGGAGACTGCCTCTGTTAACCTGTTTCTAAAAATAAAGGTAGCTTAGCTGTCTCTGGCTATAGTACTTTCTGAGACACTGACCAAGTACATAATAAGTACATACTGACCAAGCATACTAATCAGAAAAGTCAGAACTGATATGGAAACGTAACTGGTCAGTGATTCTGAAAGCACTGAAGCCAGTGGATTAGCATGATAGTCAGGCAACTAGCATTGTCAGAAGGATTGGTCAGTAACGGTGTCCTCCATTCATTTTCATTACAATTTACATTGCATGCAGTTCATTAGTACGATTCAAGAAATAAGGTATTGCCTGGGGGCACGTGGAGGTCCTCTATAGAAAATACAGAGCTTCTTTATCATATACACACAGTTAAGCATCATGTTTAGCACAGTGAACATTGCTTCCGTAGTTATATAGGTAGCCAGGTTGAAAAAAAGACACAAGTCCATTGAATTCAGCCTATATAGATTCCATTATATTTATTTAGGCTTGGTGCCTAAAAGGGATGTTTGGTGCTTAAAAAGACATGATGGACTACAATCTTAACCTCCCTGGCGGTAATCCCGAGTGTGGCTTGGGGTTAATTTTCATTACCAAAAGCGGTAACCCTGAGCCACACTCGGGATTACACAGCGCGTTACTAACCTTGTCCACCATCCCCGCTGTGTCCTCCGGCCGATGCCAGCCACCGTCTTCCGGTTTCCTTCCCTTGCGAGTGTCCGCGTCGCAGGGGGCGGAACCAGCGGGAAATTTAAAAGGAAAAAAAAAATAAAAAAAAGGAGGAAATAATCAGACCGCCAGGGAGGTTAATACAACCTAGTAAACTAAATGTGAGATTATAGTCCCATCGCAGGAGTGAGCTTGGAGTGGTGGCTACTTTACAACACATACAGGGACCATGGTGAACAAAAGTAGCCAACCTCCAGAAGGAAGGACAGTGTCAGTATAAATTCAGAGATAATTTGAGGATCTACAGCCGAGTAATACACAAATAAGTTACGTTTTTGTTATTAGTTAAGGTGCTTGAATACATTTTTAACATTTAACGATTAAGTTTAGTGTCACTTTAACTGTACTATCTAATTACTGTAGCAGGAGACAGTTGAAAACATTTGCAAGTGTGGTAAATTCAGCATATCCTTTTTTGTAGCATGATACAATCAAACACTGTGGTATTAGACTGCAGTCATTATAAATACTTGTAATACATTTTTTTTTACTCGGTTTTCTTTTATAAAAATATACGTATTTCAATACTGCTCAATGTACTTGTGGAAGATCACACAGTATTTTAGGGAAATCATAATCAGAAAAAAAGTATCTCAAAACGTTACCATGACTATTCAGAAAGGCTCCAGATCATGGCCACAGGCTATTCTGTGTGGTTTTTCATTGAATAGATAGAAAGTACTTACATTTGAAATAATGAGAACCTGTCTGAATACAAATATGGATGGGTGCTATTTTTGACTTGCTATGAGCCTGTAAGATTTAAGTCATGATCTACCTCCTTGTATCTCTATTCAAAAATAAGTGCAGGCATTTATAAAAGACCATCATTACATCTATTTATGTATTCACAACACATACCTAAATGTATTTTCAAAAGTATCTTAGTCTGTCTTTGTAATAGGTTCTTTTAATCTCCTGCACATCAGCATTCAGACTGGTCAGAGGAAGAAACAATACTGTAAGCTAACCAGACTTTTTACTGCATTGCATAGTACAATTGCATTCTGTGCTATGACTGCTCACAAACTGACAGATTTGCTGTGGCCAGTCTTTATGCAGCCAGAAACTCCGCAGCCCTGGGATGCAAAATGCCTGAGTCCAGGGTTAATCAGAGGCTCTATTTGTGTGTAACCCTCAGATGAGTGGTTACATGTGAACAAGGGAATACAATTCAGACAGCCACAAGAATTACTAGATTTTCATCTGCGGCAGCCCCCTGTATCTCATGTAAATGAGTCCTACATTAAGAAGTTGCTGATTGGAGGACAGAGCACAAAGCTAGCCTTTATCAGTGAGCTGTAGTTCCTTCACTGTCCAGTCACAGACTAAAGTAGGGTATATGCAGTTCAAATCTCATATGAAAGTAGTAGTTTTCAGAACGTTCATTCGAATATCTATCAATTAGTATGGTGCAATCGATAGATGAAAACGGCATTGTTCTCAAAGATTTTCGAAGGAACGTGTTCGAAATTTTTTCTTGATCGAACAAATCTCTAACAGTGAATGTGGTTTTCGTTCGGAAGCTCCATTCATTCCAAAATAGTATTTTTAATAAAAACGAAAATTAAACTAAATTTTGAACGACAATCGGCACATTTCTGATGCCAGTATCAAACTTTCTGATGGTATTTTTCACACGAATGTTCATGCAAAACTCTACCCGTGTATACCCTACTTAAGCAATATTTATTTCATTGCAGTGGAACTGGACTAGGGTCTGGCAGGGTGTCTGCATTAGAATTGTAAAAAATGGCAGTTAAGACATTTAATACATGTGTTTTAAGTGTCTATATAGCTTCTTACCTATACTTCCTCTTTAATGACTCACTGATCTGCAATGAAATGCAGCCAGTGAAGGTGAACTCGCAATGACAGCTAGCACCTTCAAATTCAATTCAGCAATGGCAGTTCCCTTATTTTTTTTAAGCATGTAAGTTTTTATTGAGGTTATATACAAAAGAGTTCCCTTATTTCACTTTAATTTTTTTCATTAACAATAAAAAGATTATAGAGATTCACATCAATGCAAGTATAGCTCCAGGCGCCTGGCCGCAGACTGTGACAACAATAGTAGTGGACATGATGGATACGTAGATTGGGTAAGCAAACTCAGCAACATGGGTTATCAAAAAGAACTGCTGGAAAAAATGCCCCTATTCTGAACTATCAAAGTTGGTAGCTACCTTTCTATTCTGACAAGTTCCATTTAGAAAGAAATGATCCAAAGCAAGAGGCAACCTTGTGGATTACGAAGAGTATTCTTTAGCTGAGTAACATCATACTTTCATGCTTTAGTTTACTTTTTCCTCATATAAAATGTCTCTATTGTCCCATTTTCTACTGTCATGGTTTTTATGAAATATGTGAAGAAATATACCTCAGAAACTGCTGTCTTACCTTGTTCGTGGATTGTCAGAACTCTCTTTTTCTGCATCTAGCAGCACTTCTAACTGAGGAATCATGGCTGAACTGTTGTAAAGTGCTTTAGACTGAAGTATCAGGAGTCCCAGACAGAATTTTGCTCCCATTTCTTCTAGCTCCTTAGTTCCAACCTGTAAGCCCTGTGAAGGATGGAGATGATAGGGAAATGAGCAGACCGCAATCAATCTTCAAGATAAACAACTGGCAATAGAATTGGCGCACATTAATTGAACGAAGTTCCCTGAAATCATTAATAACTTCTACACCTGCATTTAGACGCTTTTGCAACTTTTAATAGAAGATGATGAGACACTACTATTTATCTAAAGGTATAAATTAAAGTACTTTGTTTGCTTAAACTTATTTTACTTTGTTGCCAAGTGATAAGCGCAGAAAAGTAGACATGCACACTGAGCCTGATTCAGTTTAAAAACTATGTGCTAAAAGTGTTATATAATACTTAAGACAGAAGGAAATATTTAAGATATCTGTTTTAAAATTATTTACAGCTGCAGAGATCCTTGCTTCAACACCTACAGACACACCACTAATAACATCAAGAGTTAGTAGTGCCACTGTTTTTAAAGGAAAGCAGCATCTGCCGCAGCGCTACACCAGAATCAACTGGGTTGACTAGCAGCTGAGGATCCCACAAACTGCTCCCATAAAAAGAGCATTATGCCTTACAGTTATATCTCTTAACAGGTGATTTCTAAATGATTGATATGTGTTCATTCTTATCAATTAATTTGAATGTTTGGTATAAACATAGTAAACAGCTGCACCTATACCAAGGCTTCAAAACCAAAGCCAATCTTTCCTGCTGGTTAAGACCAAATATCTAAGAGGAGGAAAAGGCATGGTCACCTTCTATTTCCTAAATCGTTATATGGTTATGTTATGTGGTCATTTAGTATCAGACAGTACTTATAAGTCTGTATAAGTATCTTTTTTAAATACGGAAATATAACAGTGAATACCATTTATATTTTAATTACTTTACAGTGAACATAATGTAAAATCCTGAAAGACAGAATGAAAATGTAACTTCACTTTCTCTTTAAATTGTTAACAACTATTTTGATTTTAAAGTAAAACCAGTTTGATACGCTTCTAAAAAGGTAAAAACTGTGCTGATGTGCGGAAACATTGTGGTGCCTACATGTACCTATCTAGGTCTTCAAAATCAATCCTCGTGTCCCTGTGAAACCCCAGTGGATCCTAGACCAAGGCCACACATGGAACTTTAACTTCTGGCCAAGTTTATATTTAAAATCTATCCTCCTGGCTCCTAGATCGACCCATATCATTCAACTGTCAAGTGCCTGGGCCTCTATTGCCCTCTGAAGTTCTGGAATTTGACATTTGGATGGAGGGTGATCCAGGGAGGCAAACAGGCCTAACCATTACATGTGAGACCAGTAGACAGGGGAGGACTGCGCCCAGAAACGACAACACATGGGAAAAATAAAAATTGATAGTACAATCCCTGTAAAGAGCCAATCCAGCCAACAATTAACTTCAGTCAGTCAAATACTAATGTTACCAAAGAAATATTGAATCTATACTTTAGATATAATATCCACCAAATATACCTTTATCTTAGTCTACTTATCCTGTCCTGGGCTGGCTGGATTGTGCTAACGAACAATGAAGCAAGCAATGGAAAATAAATAGTCACCTTCATTGGCAACTTGTTTTGAACCTACAGCAAAAAAAAAATGTGCCAAACAGCAACCCTAGATGGCCTTGGGGTTGGTATGGGATATGGTTTACCTTGCACACTGCTTTTGGCCTTTATTGTTTTTAACCAATTAAATGGCAAAATCCTATACAGCCTTTTTTGCAGCTATAGATTTGCACCTACCATTAGGATTATTATAACTGTTCATATTCAATAATTACATAGTTACATAGTATTTGAGGCTGAATAAAGACACAGGTCCATCAAGTTCAACCTATTGTGTGTATGTTTTGGATTCTGCATGTGCATGCGCGTGTACGAGTCCCCGTGTGACCTTACTTTTTAAGGGTACCTGTACCCCTGTATGTTACGATCTCTGAGGAAATTGTTCAAATGCATTTTTAATGATTCAACACTCTCAGCTGATACCACTGCTTGTGGCAGAGAGTTCCAGACCCTAACCACTCTAACTGAAAAGAAGCCCCTACGCCCCTTGTGCTTAAATCTTTTCTCCAACAATTCTAGGTGACTGCCTCTAGTCATTGTTTTGGAGTTCACCGTAAAAAGTTTATTGCTGATGTTGCTATCGTCATTGAACATCTTGTACATCAAAATCATGCCCCCACTTAATCTCTGCACCTCCAGCGTAAACATATTTAAGATTTGTAACCTTGTCTCATAGCTTTGGTCCTCCTTTCCCTTAATTAGTTTAGTTCCCCTTCTCTGGACTCTTTCCAGCTACAATACACCAATACACATCCTTTCTGTGTATTGGTGACCAAAACTTGACCACATACTCCACATGAGGCTGAACCAGCGATCTATAAAGTGGCAGAATTATAGAATTGTATCTACAGTACATTCCCTTTTTAATACAAGACAGTACTCATCTGCCATATAGTTGCCCACTCCCCTATTTTATCCAGGTCCTCCTGTATGTTATAATGTTATAGTGTCTAAGTCCCTGTCTATTACCCTCCCAATTTTAGTATCATCAGCAAACACGGAAACATGGCTATTCACGCCCTCCCGATATCGTTAGTAAACAGGTTGAATAATATGGGGCCTAGCACAGAACCCTGAGGCACCCCACTCCTGACACTTGACCAATCTGAAAAGGAGCCATTTATAGATACTCTCTGGACACGTTCCTTTAGCCAATTTTCTATCCATGTACTCGCCATTTCATCTACGCCCATAGACCTCAGCTTGTGTAGTAAGCGTTTATGTGGTACTGTGTGAAATGCTTTCGAAAAATCCAGATATACCACATCCACCAGCTTCCCTCTATCCAGATCTCTACTCCCCTCTTCGTAGAATGTAAGTAGGTTGGTCTGGCAGGAATGGTGCTTCCTAAATCCATGTTGATTATCATTTATTATACCATTTTCATGAACAAACTCTACTAAGTAGTCCTTTATCATTCCCTCTAACAGTTTGCATACTATTGATGTTAGACTGACTGGTCTGTAGTTCCCATCTTGACCCTTTTTTGAATATCAGTATAACAGTAGCTTTCCACCAGTCACTTGGTATTCTACCAGTCATTAAGGAGATAATAATAATGCAATGGGCATGCTAATTTTTGAAGCCTCTAATGCCTTTTATGATAATTTTTTCTCCAAAAAATACAGCTATGTTGTCATATTTACTGTATTGTTTGTATATAATTTGAGTAATATATTTATATTTTTTTTACTTGGCATACTTAAACTACTACTTTATATTTCAGCAACTGGGGTTTCCAAAAACAGATTGCAGGCGCTGAGCCATTGGGTTACCTGGCGCACTACAACTACTCAGATGAAGCAAAGTATGCTGACTTCTCAGTGCTGATTTCACGTTTTATTTTCACTGCGCTATACCTTTAAGCAACCTGTAGTTAAACAGATTACTCAGATCCACTACAGACAATCTTCTCACAGTTGGAACACCACTCCTTGCAGGATAAATATAGAATTATCCAGAATTGAAGTGCTAGACAGAATGGTTTCCTGTGGGAAGGCTGATATTACAATGAGATGAAAGCAAACCTAATTGAAGGTTTCATCAAACAGTGGGCCACGCTCGTGTAGAAGAGCAGGTGCTGAAACAAGTGGAGACTGTATGCAAGAGCGCAGTGACATCAGCAAAAGACATATCATCAGAATTACAGACCAGATACGGCTCTTTATGAGAACAGCCATCCCCTTTCATTCATATGAAAAAATACTGTGCATAAAGGCATTGCAGAGATAAATCCATTCCAAGTACTTCATAGGAGTATTTGTTGTCTGCTTGGCATGTTGATACACTAGGAAACAATTTCTTCATGTCTTGTATAATAAAATATTTTATCCCACATATACTGTGGTAAGCTATAGAAGGCATCACATGTGAAATGTCCTGTTTAAATTGAAATTAGTATTTTATACACTATCTTAGTTAAAATATATTTTTTGCAATTAGTTTAACAACCAATAAAAAAGTTAGAGTACCTTAACAAATTTGTTGGCACATCAACAGGCAATGTGTTATGTGTGCTTATTCATTGTCAGTGGTCTGTTAACATGAGTCAATGGGCTAAAAACTGTACCTGCTTTATTTTCTTCCAGTGCACCCTAAAGCAACACAAGTATTAAAGAACACATGCCTTGAACCGCAGCTGCATTGGGATGTCACTGAAAATGAATTTGCACTTTTCACCAAGCAAAAAATAAACTTGAGCAATGCAGGTTGGTTTTTAGCGCATGCTTTTGAAATGGAAAGTTGTGAATAGGTGCTTAGTGTTTGTGTCACAGAATGGAATAAGTATGCATTATTATTACATTATTTTGAAAAGAACACAATATCCCGCTTATATCCCTGCACATAACCAACCAAAACATGGCAAAATACTGATCACCCATGCAGTGATGAAACTAGGACTATGTTATAAGTTTGTACTGCTTGCAAACATCTAGCCATTTATTACACCCTTTATTTGTCCATAATCAACACATTTATGGCCAACTATATTTACACCTTTAACTCAACTATATAAACACAAAGGTATACACAGAGCTGAACATATCGGTTGATGTACTGTAAAGGATTCTAAATAAACATGAATTACAGTTTTCTCCAAAGGTGGAGCCCCAAATTAATTACTTCCTGCCCCATTACAAACTAAAATAATGGAAGTCAGCATACAGGGAATAATAAATGCTACACATCAAAACTGTTAAAACCAGCAGAAGACAACACTTGGGGAGATATAAACAGCAACAATGTAAATGTTAGCAGCATTTACTAGCATACAGTAGACTAAATAAATCCCTTTCCCTCGAGAGATGAAACCCCAGGTGGGCATTCATGCATTAATAAACTGTCTGTCTCCTGCAATTAGGACAACTGATTTCAAGCCATTGTTCACACTCTGTATATTTATCACTTCAATCTGAAAGGTTGGATTGCGAAAAATAACAACACTCATGA